TGTTGTTGAAAAGACATCCAAATGACCTTCTAAAATGTCCATAGACATCTAGGCTAAAGTTTTAAACCAGATTTAGATGTCACATCTACATTAAAGCTCCCTTTCCATTGGATTAAGCCCCTGCTAGACTCTTCGTGGCCTACATGAGCTCTTAGAATTTGACTGGATCACAGCAAATTTAGAAATTCTTTAGTGTGAAGGCCACTGCTAACCAATTTTTTTTCATTCTATTTTTTATGTCACAAAAAAGCTTTCCTGCCACCTCACCGTACTATAAATGTGTCTGTAGATTGTTTCCATTGCATTCTCACAATCTTTGTCATTGCCTAGCCATTCTTGAGGAGAACACTGGTGCACACAGGCTCCACGTGATAGATAGGCTAACCACTATCAACTAAGCACAGGATGGTTTAAAAACATCCAAGTTTTGATAATTAACAAGTAAATAGGCACAGCAGCAGCCCACTGTAGCATGTCAGGTGCAGTCTGGGGAACTTATCACAGGATTATCAGAATGTTTCTGCTGGAAGAACAAGGTGGCATAAATTTGACAGTGARGAAAGGCTTATAAATAGCATTAGAATGGACCACAAAAAACATTGGGAGTAAACTTATTTGCTCTTGGCCTCTTGTGGTCTAGTTGTGCTGTCTGTCCAGTCAGAAAGAACACTMTTTTCCYAACTGAGGTTATTCAAAGAACTATCTACAACAGGTTAGATATTAATCATTCATAGCCTTAKAACGAAACCCTACTGGAAGATTAGAAACTGCAGAGCAAACTCTTTAAAAATTCACAATGTGAATCATAAAAACCATGACCACATCAGTAATTGTCCCTATTCCAAATTGTCTTTTATCTGTAATTATTTTCCATTATCTGTAATTATTTTCCATTAATTTTGCATATGACAGTTTTCTTGTTGTCAGACTTACTATCTTACAATAAAAAATAAAATAAATTAATTAAATTTAATTAACAGCATCACAGCCAGCAATACAAAACTTGGGAGTATCAATACTAAAATCAAAATAACAATACTTTAAATACATCAGGCATATCAGGTAGTATATTTGTCAATAACAGGAACACAGTGGAAAATAATTAAACTWGTGAAGTCTTGTCTAAATAATAAGTGCTCAGAGGGAACTAATTTTCTTTCGCCTGAGGAATGCATAAGTGCAGCAACACATGCTAAGCTCAATCTGTAGATGTTACATGTTACTATGATCATGTAACACAAATTAAGATTCAAGTTTTAATTTTTATAGTAGTTCTTAATAATCAAATGGCTCATTTTAATGGTTTTATTGTTTCATTTAATTTTTATTGTTAAAAACACCATGCTTTACCATCAGTTTGCATTTTGGTCAAATTTTCTGCAACCTTTGAGCCACATTTGACACATCCAGGTTGTTATTTTGCACCAAAGCCAGAATTTTCAACAATAAACAATAAACACTGCAAACTCAAATCCACACAAAATAGCATCTGAGTCCTATTGCCATCAAACCTTATTTCGCTCAAGGTCCTGAACATTTATAAATCTGACTCTTTCTTCCAAACTGATGTTTGCTAAAATGTAGGATTTACTGTTGGAGATAGTTAGTGTTATGCATGTTTGTTAAAGAATGCGGTGGCMATTTTCCCTCAGGCTGAGCTTTTGGAGGTTATTCATGTTGATGTTGTCGCTGTGAGAACACAGAGCAACACTCTCCATTTGCACATGCACAACTCAAATGTCAAGTCACTCTGCGGTGGTGGTGGCTGGTCAGGGTGAAATAAAAAGGGGATGGAGCTTGTGACAGAATGTTCTGCTGCAGCAGAGGAAAAAAAAAAACATAAGCAAGTGAAAAAAAACAGCATCCAAACAGTTAATTTAAGGTTCAAATTGTATAAAATAAACTCCAATAATATGAAGATGTTGCAAACAAAGAACAAATGAGCAACAATATGCTGCTAAAATAATGTTTTTTTTTAAACATTGTTTTTGGAGCTGTTCTGAAAAGACAAAAGACAAAAGACAAATTTGAACTTTAAGTCCAAATATACCTCCAATGGTTTATTATAGGGACCATAAAACAAACTGAGCATCCTTGGCCCAATCATCCTGCTTTTGCTCCAAATCATGACAATAARCAGACATTTATTACATATTGTTCTAACCTCATTGTCAATTGCCTTCATTTAGATTTGACTGGAAATGTGTTGTASGTCTGAAACGCAGTAATAAATGTGCACTAAACTAAATTTGGATGGCAAACAAAATATAAAATAGATTGGGTGAATTCTGTCTGCAAATGAAACAAAAGTCAAAGAAATTGAAAAATCACTGCAGTTTAATTATTCTTTTGTTTTTGTTGTTTGTCTTCCTTCATATAAGCCCAACTTTTATGACTTTAGTTGTAGTGGTAAATCAGTCATRATACACAATCTGTAAAATTTGAAGATGTTAAAGAAAATGTCTTTCCTTCACTCGTTATTAGGGAAAACCTCCAGGCTATATGCGCACCAGAACAGAGTAATTAATTTGAGCTCTTATGAATATCTAGCAGTTTTCTTATTTGGGTATTTGAGATAAATTCCCTCACTTAGACAGAAGCAAAAAGAGACACATTTGTGTGCTGGCCACTTCCCAGAAGTGTAGCAATTCATAGTTTGTGTTCCCTGAATCTAAAAAAAATACTGTATATAGTAAAGGCAACAAAAGAGTTGGAGAAAATTGTTAGTAATCAATGGGGTAATTTAGAGAAAGATCATAATGTTTGTCCAGAAACAGAACATCAGCATTTACTAATGAAAGTTTGCACAGATTGGTAAATTAGTGCAAACAAATGCAGACAACATAATGTGTCTCTGTGTTTTAGGAGGGTTTTTAAAGGCTTTATTAAGTTTTCAGTGAAATGAGGATCTGCACCGAGCTGTTGATTAAGGAATGTTATTTGCTGTAAAGGTTAAWAAGTTGTTGTTACATGGAACACCCACTAAAATGTGCACATTTGCTGGTGTTGTTTTGGTGTAATTTTGCCACATTGTATGAATATTTTCAGCAAAACATTTAGTATTCATAGGGAAGTTTTCTTATTTTAAACTAAAGCCAGCAAATAAAATCAAGTATTACATATTTAGTTGCTCTACGGTCACGTGAGACTTCAGTTTTTGTTTTGATTCCAAATGACCAGCACCTTCTGTTTCAAGGTCAGAATTTCCCATTAAAATCTATTCCTTAATTATATCTTGGAAAGTAAAAATAACAAGTTGAAAACACTTTTTGAAAATTTCACAGTTTTATTTTTTTGTTTGCAGCTTTGCATCAATTAGGCTAATGTTGAGTTTAAATCATCTAAAAAATCTCCCTAGTTTTAGTCCTCCAACTGACTTGACCTGACCTACTTACAACACTTGCAATCTTTTAAAACATAATGAGAATGCTTTTTTTCCTGATTCAACAAACATTTGAATAATACCGGTGGCACTCTTTCATATTTAGCTCTTTTTCAACCTAATTTTTACTCAGAGTCTGAACCTGAGGTAACCTCACACAGTGCTTAGGGAAAGTGTTCAACTCTCTGAAACATGCTGGACTTSGGAATCACATGTATTCTTACACAGAAAAAGAATGAAAATGCCCTCAAAATGCATACATTTATACATTAAAAACCTACCGTAGGACACAGGAGTACAGGCCTACATCTTGTAGATCAGCAGGTCGAAACCAGATGGAATCTTCTTCTTTGCTCATGCGCACGCCATCAAACGAGATGGGCTCCTCGAAGTCACTGTGTCCGAGGCCAGAACTGCGGTACCACATGAGGCTGAGACCCACGCTCTGAGCCTGACTGTAGTTGGCTCGGATGTAACCGTAGAACAGAGCACACTTAAGCCGTACTGGCTCACCCTGAAGCACCCGGTACTTTAGGTAGTCCACTGACCAATCTGTGCAGCCATCGACTATAGGARAAGAAAAAAAAGAAGCATTAGAAATATATGTATAGTAGGTGCAAAACATAATCCAAGTTATTTAAAAACCTTTGAGTATCACCAGAGGTTGACAAACTATTCAGTTTTCTTACTTGAGTCATAGTACTGATCCTGTTGTTCAAATATTACTCCAATAAAAGTAAAATTACTTAGGGCAAAGTACTGAAGTATGTGCTTTCAAAAACACTTAAGTACTTATTCAGTGGCTCCTGTCATACTCAGTGGTGACAACTGCACCTATGGTCCCTCCAGACCACCACAATCAGACCAACAGATTTAAACACGAGGAAGTTGGGTTAGCTGTTTTGCCCAGAGACACAACGACAGGCAGGAATTTGAACCAGCAACGCACTAGTTGCAAGATCAACATGTACCCCCTTGGCCACTGAAATTTATATATTCCTAATTATTCCCCTTTTACAAGAACTGTCAAGCTAATTTAGTCTCTACATAGTCACCACATCAAGGACAAGGCTTGGAAAAATCTTTGAAAGAATCGAGTCTTTAGTGACTAATTAAGAAGCTCTAAATCTAACATTTGGGGGAACATTTCACACTCAACCTTTAGTTGTTATTTGCAATAGGGTTAGAGTTAGGACAAGACAATATGGTACCAGTGGGGTGCTCGCTTTCAGTCACTGTAAATTTTGTTTGTCAGCTGTTTGTAGTTTTATTAGTCAACATGTCAACTCCTTCCTTTTTCCACCTCTGTGGAACAAGTTTCATCACCAGGGTAAACGCAGCGYTCAGCTGGTAAGGATGAGGACGAGTTTGGTGAGCTTTATAGTTCTCAAACTGTGCCAAAAGGGGTGCCTTGCTTATTTTTGTGGTGTTCCCTCCACACTGTCGACACCTTGGTAGCTATCATTGGCCCAAATGAGGTGCTTCAGATCTGCGCACCCTGCTTTTCTCATGCCTCTTCACCATGCTCTCCAGGCATTGATTGCTAGGAAAAACTTACTCTTGCAAGCATCGGGCTGGTAAATGCCAAATCTCTAATGAACAAAACTTTTATTTTGAAGGAGTTTCTCTCATCATGGGGTTTGCGTTTGCTCTGTCTGACTGAGAGTTGATGAGTCCAGTGCTTTTAATGAACTTCTACCACAGGACTGTTGCGAAAGTCCAAAAAKTGTACTTACATACAGTACTCATGTAAATTTACTTTACATGCCTCTAAGTAGCACAACAAAGATCTCAGCACTAGTGCATTTGATAGGGGTGACTCTCACTGTCAGCTAACACACCACATTTTTGTTTAATTCTAGTGAAAGTAATTGACTGATAACCCTTTGTGTAATTTGTTGTGGCAGAAGTCTTGAATCAAATTCAGAGTCACTGAGACATAGTTGGTTATTCCTATTCTAGAAAACAAATSTATTTCTTGTTTGCAGCAAATGCATTGAACTAGTGGCTATCAGTCTCCAACAAACAGTTGGTTATCCAGCAGGTGTATATTTATTGATTTGAGAAAAAACTGTGTGTGCATATGTAACCAAACACTAGGAAACATAGACAGAAGCGGTGATGGTGTGTTGAGATAAAGTAATAGGAACCCTGCTGCATGCCGTCTGTGAGTGATGCAGTGCCTCACAGGGACAGCTATGCTTGTAATTAATACTGTTAATTACCAGGGAGGTAATGTGTGTCTTRGTATGTGTGTGTATGTGTGTGTGTGTGTGTTTTCTGAAGTGTGCATTCCCTATACGAATGGTTGTCTCCCTAATTATGTCAGTAATTACCAGTAGAATTTGCCACAAGTGTGTGTGGTGTGTGTTCAGTTTCACGCACATGAATGAGAAAGAAACAGAACYAACGTTTGTATGTGTGTGATTGTGTGTGGCCTAATGTGTGAAACACTGTCTAATTATCCCCTCTTACCCCAACATTATAAGCYAAGCCCTATAGATGCAAACTTGCATGCATTATGTCTTCACTCCTCACAATTTTAAACTTGATTGCTTGATTAACTGTTCTGCYTCACACTGATGAACTTTACTAGTAATAATTTTATTACTGCAGACAAGCCTTTCAATAGAGTGTATTTATACAAAAAAGTTAAGCACCCAGAGTGGGAGTTACAGGAACTGAAATGAAACTGGATGTGTTTAAAGGCATTGTGACTGCATTGCAATTAGTACAAAATCAGAGCAAATAAATAAAACCACTGGTTCGGTGTTAGTAGAGTGTAGCACACCCTGTCCTGCAAACAAACACTAGACCATGGGATATATGTATGGATTAAATCTTGTGCCACCAGGAAATGAATTTGAACTGCTCAGATTGAATCTGAATGTGCATAATTTTAAATTGAATGCATTGGTTTAAAAATGAATTTCACTAAAATGAAATGGAATTTAATGGTTTGAATTTAAATTAATTTGCTTTGAAACTGTATTTTGGTTCATTAAAAATTCAATTTGACTACTTTCAATTTCAGTTTCATAATTCAGATGTTTGTGTCAGACATCTGGGTCCTTGAGAAAGCCAGCCAGAGTAAACACAGATCAAAAGATTTACATTTCACGTTGGTAAAGCTTCTCTTCTGTAATATAACTGTGAAAATCATGAAATGATGTTTTCTATACATAAAKTTAATTAATGCAATAAAATAACTTTGTTTTGTCACTTTTATGGTGGTTTGCATCAACTCAGTGACGCTTTACTGAAGTGAAATGTAAATCTGTTGATCTGTGTTTGATCACTCTGCCTGGCTTTCTCAAGGACCCGAATGTCTGACAAAAATCTGAATTTTAGAACTGAAAGTGAAAGTAGTCAAACTGAATTTTTAATAGACCAAAATACAGTTTCAAAGCAAATTAAATCAAACTCAAACCATTAAACTCAGTTTCAATTTATTCATATACAYATTCAATCTGAGGAATTCAAATTCAGTTCCTGCTGACACAAGGTTTATCCCATACATACGACTCAGTTTTTTTCTTTTTTGAGATTTATATGCTATAATGTCATCCCCCCATCAAAAAAACATAGCTAGTGTTGCTTTGACTTATTCATGTATGTTTAGAAATCCTTGAATCTCCCGTGACAGACATGTGGAGCAGCCCAAACGCTTGCTGATACAAAACACKGCCTATTTACACAAAGCTCCTCCCTGGAGCTCAGTGTCCTGTCCAGAAGAAAATCCGAGCAACAACTGTTGTAACAGGTTGTCAAGATCCAGAAGATCATCACTGGAGAGATCAGGAGTAGAGATTGTGACAACYACACACAAGAACAGCTACTGAAGTTGTAGCATTGCTATCCACCTCCCCTAGCCAAGCAGACACAATTTATTGTTTGTGTGTCCTTCTCTGGCTTTATAAAAAATGTGGTCACCCTCCTTATAAAGTTTAGAAAATTTATGAAAAATAAAACAACTTACAAATAGAAATATCAGTTAAATCTCAWTGAACTTGAAGATCGACCTGAGGGCATACATGTCAAGTTGTGCAAACTGTCCGTAAATTACTCAGATTTTCTCTCATTTTGCAAGTATGCAGACAGTATAAAGAATATCAATAGCAATSTCACAATTTTTTCGTTTTTCAAATTTTTTTCAGAAACTCAGTTTCAAAGTTATTTAACATGTCAGAGCCTGTAGGATGTTAAAAAACAACAACAAATAACATTAAACAAACATCTTCCAACCCGCTCTGCTGCTATAAATAAGTTCTTCTGTCCTCATTTCCTCTGTTTTTTTGCTCTGCAGGTGCAGTCATCCCCACGGCCGACAGTCCACCTGCAACACAATCCCACCCCTCCTGACTCTACACCCACTTTGCGCATGTAATTGATGGAGATTTTTTGCAAAAGGGGTTGACGTATTACAGGGCGTCCTGAAACATTGCCAGCTGAAACAAATGTTTTTTTGTTCTTTGTTGTGTATATAATTGCTACAAATGAAATGAATAAATTTCTAAATAAATAAATAAATGAATGAATAAATTGATGTGCTTTGTTTTGGGTGACCAGAACTTCACAATATCTGCAGGTGTCATCATCTACCAAGTGGTTCCAACATAGTAACACTGTGACAAATGCTATGCATAGTGGGCAGTTCACCAGGCCTGATGCAAACCCACACTCCCACACCTAATTCAATCTCTCAAGTGCTGCTATTGTTACTAAATGCATCCACAAGGAATCCTCTAGATGTTGTGATGTTCACATATTATTTGTATTGACTGTTGAACACTCTGGCAACTACCTGATAACACTATTGTTCCACTCCTAATGCCTCCTCTTTGCTCCCTGGTGCCTGATATAAAGATACCACTTGCTTGCAAACTGAATCACTTACAAACTGTACCCATGGCTAGCCTGCACATGTACCAAACTAGACAATTCATTTTAACTGCACATACTGATTTAATTCTATAACATAATATGAAGAAAACAAGATGATAATCCTCAGCGAACCATTGAACCTAGGAGCATCATRGCTCTTCTGACATTGAGGTGAATTTCTACTAAAGGCAGCAGGTAAGCCCTCTGCCCTTTATGCATATCAATCGTCTAATCAGCAGGGACAGATRCATCCTTTACTCTATTCACCCTCCACACTCTCCAATGGATATGACCTCTGCATCGCCATCACAATATTCATTTCTGCCCTCTCTGGCAAAACAAAACTGTTTATCCTAACAAGCTTCACTCCTGATTCGTAACAAAAGGAAACATTTTATTCAGTGGCTGTTTGTCRGTCTTTCTTTTTTCCTCGTGGTGCTGACTTGCAGATGTGCACAGTCCAACAAAAGCAGCACCACATGCATTCAAGTATCCACATGTAAARGCACAAACACACAAATAGGTGGCCCTTTCATTTCTTACAGACATCCCCAAGGGGGAGTTGTCT